TTACTTACCTCCCGTACAGTCACATATGTAGTCGTTTATGTCGTCAATACACACCCCACCATTACACAGATTTTCATCTAAACAGTCATCAGGATCTATAAAGATGAATTATATTGTACAGCGCGAGTTAGTGTCTCTAACGTAACATTTATCCCACATATTGCACATTTTCCTGGCGACCAAAGTATTAAATAACAAACTAGTTCCGTTTAAAAAAATGTGTTGTTTTAAAGCTGAATTAAGTGCCCTACTGACAGAATAATACCAAATATAATCATAGGTAATATATTTTAGATTAAACGTTTTCAGTTAAATATATGATGAATATGATTGTCGCTATAACTATAATTAATATTTGCAAATATAGCGGACCAATACAAATACTTGATAATGTTGACCAGAAATTATACATTGAGTTAAAAGTCGCTAAATCTGGATTGGATAACATATTTATACATGATCTGCCATACATATTGATAAATAACCAGTCAAGGCTAAATTACGGTAGACATAGAACATAATTAAACAGGTTGGGAAAGATTGTTATTCCTTCTTTAAAAGGTCCAACTTGGACAGTATGGTGATATTATGCAAAATACAAAATTTACGTCACTGTTCATCGTGCAGCGAAGGTTTTGTCCTCGCTGCATGAGATCGTAAATTACGGTATTTTATGTATAAGCTTACTATTCACACGACCTCTGCGGACTAAAACGATAAAAAAATTGAAACAGCGCCGTCTAACTTTAAAAAAAATTCACTGATTTATATACGAGGGAATGTCGGTGGTTATCTGTCAAGTCCGAGTTTCGTCAAAGCGGTAGTATCAGACCGCTAATCGTTAAAGTTGATCGCATCGTGTAGTCCTTACTAATGTTCTAATAATACTTTCTACGATATTCGTAACGTGACTGCTACATCTGTTAAAGCTCGTGTGAATGCATAAGAGGGCCAAGTGACAAACAGAGTACAACATCTCGGACTACAGTAGCGAAAAGAATTGTAGCACTCATTACCTGAGTTCACAGAGCTAGGCATAGTCAAATATTTTGTTGAAAACACATAAACCTTGCAGGTTAATTGGTTCTACTGACAATACTTACTTATTTCACATACATCCCCCGACGTTCCGAGTGGACAGGTACAATTATATGCGTCGGCGTTTTTCTCACACACACCCCCGTTTTCACATGGATTTGGTATACATATATTGGGTTCTTCAAGTTCTGTGACGCAGAATATTTCAGAATATCAACAAGAATGATTATAGTATAGTAGTAATAAACTGACATCCTAGGCCATATTCATGAACCCTCACCAAGACATGTAGCTGCTTGCTTGGCCTGATTGGTAACTATGTGGTGTTTATGAAAACGTTATTTCGATTCTAAGTTTGTTATCAAAGTTACAGTCGATCAAGGGTAACTCTAAATGACCATTATGCAAATGAGTCATTTTATCACTGACCACTCACGTGGCAGTATGTATCGCTGAGTTAGTACAATTTCGTCGTGGTATGCAAAAAGAACTGAATGAACCAAATAAACAATTCCAGTGATGAACAGCTGCCACGGCAATACCGATATTCCCGAGAAGGGATGATGCAAATAACAATCCTAGTTACACAAATATGCCTTCCCTGTCCATGTGTGGTTACCTAACATATATGTTGTTGTTTTAAATGTTCAAAATGACATGGAACTTAGAGAAGTCGCATAATCGCCCAAGATTAAATTTCTGCATTTCACGACCTGCCTTAATATTGTATCGAATGGCGGCACATAGTAGGGAAAACTTTTGTCGATTTGTTCTGAGCGCGATTGATAAATTAGCGCAAAAACATTATGGTATATATGCCAACAAGAATGGGTCGTTGACCATCACGAAAAGATGGGTAGCCCGAACCCTTAAGTCATGCACGATTACAATAGCGCGATGTTGTAATATCAAATCTTCTACTCCGTCACGGTGCTTTATGACCTTGAACCAATAACCCACTGTATGAGTTAGTTATGGCGTTGAAAACATGATTTAGAAAAAAATAGTTTGCAGAATAAGTAAATCAAAATGAGGAATGTTTGTTCTAATAATGGACACCAGTACCTAGATGTTCTTTTGTTTCTGGTTCTCGGTAAAATCTGCAATATTGGACAGTATTAGAAACTAGTATTGGCAACGCCCTCAGTGGTGGAGTCTACGTGCAGTCATGGAAACGCATGAAAGCATTAAGACTATTGGTTGAACAATTAACACTGTCGATTATAAAAAATGGGGGAGGGGGTCTAGCGTAATAGCCTTAGGGAAGAACAGGACCAGGGCATATGTTGACGATTGCAGTTACAATAAATACATGGCTATGTTATATTACTGGTGTCTTTGTGACTGAATGGTGCATATAAGTGTCGAGCGAACCCACTGTACTCACTGTCTTGCGAGTTACCTATTCGCTGATGCAATCATTTTCCTTACATTAACCTGACGAGCCACTCACCTACCCCGAAAGACGTAACCTGCATTGTTTACAGTACACGATTGTTTGCTACACGATTGTTCATATTAAACGTAGAAATTTATTTGGATTTGTGATAATTTATATCAGTTAACGTATCAGTTAGCATACTCACCACAGTGTGTGCCCTCATATCCAGCAGTACACACGCACTCATATCCGGATATTTCATTGACACAAGCTGCTCCATTCTCGCATGGATTTGGTTGGCATTCATCTACTTCTGGAGTGAAGATCAAATAGATAAGGGATTAGATATAAAATGCACGAGTAAATGGAGACTGCATGTTTGTAGATAATATATATGGGCAGATAGGCAATACCCGACAAAGAACGGCAGCCGACTGTGGTTTGGGCCAGATGCTGATAATGTATGTTCGGATCATACCTGTCACGGAGGATTGTAGATAAGTTAAGATAATTTATACAAGAATCGTGGCTGAATTGGAAATGTATGGATTGTTGAAATTCAGCAGTATGCTATTATTTTTTACCAGCATTTCAATTACCTGGGCCTATTTCTTCAAGAATGGTTGAAAATAGTTTATTTGTATTTCAGAACATACTTTATGATGCTTTAAAATTATTCGTGTTATGGAATTACCTTTCAATTGAGGTTGGTATAATATACTAGTAGTATGGAGTATACCACTCGATTTGACCAGTTCACTCCATATAAAAACTCACTATCGTGTGTATATGTCTTGAAACTGAGCCAAATCGCGTTGTATTACTCGCCTCTCGGGGTAGTTATTCTTTAAATACACACCCTATCTGTATTCTAGGATGCAGCTTGTGAATACGATGTCACACAAGCACAAGATACGCTTGTATACCAAGTTTGGGGGAAATTTTGTAAAAACGACGCTTGTGGCAGTCTAATCATTTATAGGTAAAACAAATCGACAACAGACAACACTAACGACAAGGAAATACATGACATATTACTTTCTTTCACAAGCATTCACGAGAAACTATTAACATAGTATAAGTCTAAATGTACTTTGCTGAATAAATGTCTAAACACAGGTCACGGAATAGGGACGTTGTCGATTTTCATAAAACGCACAGAAAAATACGTATGTGCCCGCCGGGTTTGCAAATTAAACAAATGATAATATTACCATACCCTGGTAATGACATTTTGCAGAAAAAAACAACAAAAAACAACAACATGTATTTTCCTGTGAATTGGCAACGCCGGTTGCTATGGGCAATTATCATATTGGTGACCTCCCGAGATCGCCGACGATTGGTACAAACCAACACGCTATTTCATTATGCCGTGTTGGCAACTCTGGCTATGACATTTTGAGCTTTTGATATTATTAAAGAAAGTTTTTGTGATAGGTGTAATGATGAGCCATTGGCTTTTGCAACTTTAGAGGGCGGTGTTTATTCCAAATGTATGTTTTCACTGGAAGTTGAATAAAAAGGGCGGATTTACCCTGCTTGAGCGGAGACCACGGCCAGCGCTTTGCTTGTTGGCGATATTACACTGAAACTATAGACTGCTGTGTGTATTTATCGGAGAGAACGAGCGAAATGCCCGAGAAATATCTCGAAGGTGTTTGACGGTGGAAAATTTATTGTCGAATACCTGCGCGACGACAACAGAGGACGAAATTATTTTGAGTTTCAAAAAGAATAAAGTATTGTCATGTTGTCACGATTCAATTCCTATATGAAGTCGAACATTCTATAAATGATAATCTAATGTTGTATGTGTGCTGTGAAGGTAACATTTTTAGTTTACAGACGTGTTAAAACATAAATCTTTTTATATTCGTATCCTCACCTGTCTCGAACTCGCACCTTTCACCTTCAAATCCATCAACACATGTACATATAAAGTTGTCTACCGTTCCAGAACATTCTCCACCATGCTGACATAAATCATTGTGACATAGGATTGGCGTCGTTGAGTCTGATTAATAAACACAAAAACACATTCTTATTTATTCGTGGGACATGCCCAGTACTTGAGACTCACAGTTTCCGCGAGAAATTATAAAATTAGTAAAAATGACCAAGCAAGTATTCAGCTAACAGCAACAAATAAATATGCAATTCTTAACGACAAAATAAACCCCAACAAGAATAGACTATGAAGCCTTAAGATTTTCTTTTGTTAAAAAACAGATTTTCATTTTTCTCATTCATTTTTCATTCTGTTTAATTTAATCGTGAATTATGTTCATTGTAAACTCAGAAGATCGAAGAGTTATTTCAGTGTGTATAGATCGCGGTTATAATTCCTGGAAGTAAAGTTATAAACTTGTTGACATGGCAATCATAATCCCTAAAATTGTTTTGACTGTTCATTGTGGACTGCTCTTTTATAACGATAAAAAACACCTTGCGTGAAAAATAAAGACCTTATAATCTACAATCCCATGATCAAAGGTTGTTTTTTGCGCACTGTTGTCTACCCGTGCAACAAATAGTCACTGTAAGGCCAGGAAAAAAATTCTCTGTTTCTTGTTTCATGGAAATTTTAAAATGAAGCGGCGAGGCGATTTTTTTTAATACTGGGCTAAAATGGGGAAGATTTGAGAAAACTGTGAGTACAAGCGCATTTTGGAATGCTTTAGAAGAAAAAAAAACGTCCGAGGCGCATAGTTCAAAATGATGCGCGCGAAACGAGATTTTTTTTCTCAGCCTAAAAGGCTGACAGTTAATAATTATTTTCCTACCATGCGAAAAACTTGTATTATTCAGTTAGTTGACGAGCATGATTCATTGTATTTGTTTTTGCCGGATAAATCATTACCTGTCACTTGATTGCTAGCCCCGAGTACAGTGTCATCTTCTGCGCTATCACCCGTTGATACACCGCCCGCAACTAGTGCAAGCGCCACTAGTGAGCTGACTGTCAATATAATGCCTAGTTTTCGACGTCTGTTTTTTTTCTCATTCCTCTACAAGTATAAAAGTACATGACCTAATGAAAGGCAATGAGCAAATATGAAAATGGAACAACAATCATAATAATGTTTTCACATCTTAGTAGAACCATAACAAATCTAGGAGGTGGTGAATCCTACAATTCGAACCGCTTATTAAAAAGAAATTTGAAAGAGCACGCTAAAATTCCAATTGATTATTTGATAGCATGGAAGTCACTAGTCCTACTACCTGCCTTTTTGTGATTTATTTCTATTACTATTTGCTGGTTACGTTGTCTATATTATTTTGTACTTAGGAATTACATTGATTGGAATACGCCATTGTTTGGAAGAAAACAAAACTGTTTCATTGCGTAATATTGCGTTGTGTTACTTTGAGTACCAATGTCACCCATACATACGACTCGATATCTGATGACGAATACGCAAACATCAACAATTTGTTAAGTGATTTTTTACATTGATGAGATATTCCCGATCAATATCAACACGTTCTAAACAATATGCGCACTTGCTGGCTCTTCATTAATATTGTCAACGATAAATAACATTAACGACAAAGAATAGCAATTAATGTTGGGCTAAGTAACTGACCTCTTCTTGTGCCTTTTCTTCCTCTGCGGATGTTGGTTGCACCTGATTGTTCATTTTCGTGAGAAATTAAATACACGTGCGAGTATTTCAAGTACGTGTTATCTCAGACAACGAATGGTCCGTTATGCCGCAATGTACCTAGCAACGCTGTAGTATACAGACAAGTAACCAACCATTAGGGGTATACTTAGTATACACAATACAATTTAACGGCCTACAAGCGTAACAAGATATTTGGATTTACGTATACGCAACTCGCTCGTGGTAACGTTTAAGATATAAAGCGATGTGCTCACACAATATTATTCTTCTGCTGGAAATACTACAGATACGTCACTTTTTCCCACAGTTTCCTGTGACACGGTACGCATATTAACAAATATTCGCTGATTTTCCCACGTGCGCAACTTAATTAGTATAAATAGAAACGTTCAGCTTTGCCATATTTCGACGATGATTTTTTTTATCATGAATCACAAGTTCGATGACACACGCGATAATTTATCGTTGCCGTCATATATCTAGGATGTATATTAAATAGTTTTGAGTTTTTGTGTTGAACCTAGTGCGTGTTTTATTTGCCGTATGTCTTCCCGATTGCACGTAAAGTAGTTAAGGATTCAACTTGTATTTATATAATTAGCAAAGGTATCAGTCGATTAACAGTGTATCAGTTACCAACAATCTGAACTGAAGTACTTTAGACAGCGCAATTCTTTATCGACACCTATTAATTGAACATTTCAATGAATATAAATACAAACAAAACAACCGTTTGAAACTAACAACACACGACGTGATTGTTTCGGGTAGTGTAGGGAGGTAAGCCGCTCGCTGGTTCCCGGCGTCCCTTGCGAATGGCAAGTAGGACGCATGTAACTAGTAATCGCCATATTGGTCCAATTGCATTGACGCTGAAGGTCGGCGTCCTCTCTGTGCTGAGACAGCGCTTTCTGTGATGACACAACGGATTCCGGTCCAAAGGCAGATGACTGAGTGGAGTAATTTGAAAACATTCCATTCCAATAAAGCCATGCTCATGCATTATGCTTGCTTAGACTTACATATTTCAGATGTTTCTGGCATTTCGCGCTGTTTCTGTGCAAATTTATAACAAAAGAAACATTTTTTTATTTGCCAAACATTCGAAAGTAAAAGGAAACCCCTGAACGACCACGAGCGTAAGCGATGACGTCAGGTAATCAAAGGGAATATAGAACAAGCAACAAGAAAGTGATGGACCAATCAGAATGCCGGATTTGTGCAATTCAGTTTAGTTCCTCTTGTGGCTTGGTACGCCATGACACTCGAGGCGGAAACCAGCCAAGGTAAGCCAGAGTATACAAGACAAAACACTGTTGAAAGTCTCCCCGAGGGTGGTCACGGCGAATAAAGGGTGTAGTGGCAAATAGTAAAACAGAACAATGCAGTTTAATAGTTAAATTCAAGAGCATATTTCCAATGCAAGTACTATGTCGATGATACGGCATCATTTAAATCGGATAACGGTCGTGATTCATCAAGGTTGCAGCAAGTACAAGGCAGTTGAGTGTAGAATTACACCTTGTCTTGTAAGTATTGGACAAATGCCAATACGTGATGCATGAATTTCATAAAAAAATATGTACTTCATACCGTATCATGATTGATTCATCACCAAAACGTGGCTATAAATGGATTATAATGTATATTATTTTAGTATAAACCCGTAAAATTACGTGTTTTCATATATAGAACTTAACGTGTACGTCACGTGCGTACACTGAGAAATCCCCATTCATTGTTCATTTGTGTTCTGCTACCTTGGTCGACCGATTCAAGAAAAAAGCTAGGGTTTACGAGAGATGGAACTTCAGATCACGGTTCGATACTGAATGGAGATATCCACAACACTAAAATGATATGGACGGAGAGTTTGCAAGTCGTCATCGCATGCGGCAAACGACCATAGCGTGACGTTGTTTACAGACAAGCGTCTACACGCGAGCGCTTGCGTTTTTAGCGGGTGTTGTTATTGTCGCGTGGAACCCAATTCCAGTGCATGCGCATGTGACGACTCCTCCGCTTTAATTATTCATTCGTTAAGCCATTAATTAAAAAGCCATCGCTCGACCCTGATGAATTAAAGAATTATCGCCCCGTTTCCAATGCGTCGTTCCTCTCGAAGATTACAGAAAAAAAATCGTCCTACTTCAGTTTAATGACCATCTAGTTTCCAACAACCTATTGAACCCACTACAGTCTGCATACAAATCACACCACAGTATAGAGACTGGCTTACTAAAAATCGTTAATAACCTTCTGGACGCGGTAGACAAGGGGAAGGTCAGTATTTTGACTTTATTGACCTTTCCGCTGCTTTTGACACCACCGACCACACGATTATACTACACCGATTGAAACACACTTTTGGCGTTACATCGTTAGCCCATTCCTGATTCGAGTCATATCTGACTGGGAGATCACAGACCATTTGTATTAATGGCGTGAAGTCAGATGCATCAT